CACTTTGAAGATATCAATATGTAACACAACAAGCATTGTTAATTCCCTACCACTTTGTAACTCCGTACTGTCTGTACTGTTCCTTTGCTATTTTGTAAAATGTTGTCTGTCTGTTAATATTTTCCTCCTTTTATTTTCAAAATTAAAAAAAAAAAAAAAGAAAAAGGTTTCCAAAATTGTTTTCCAGAACTTTTTTTTTTTTTTTGAGACAGGGTCTCACTATGTGGTTTGGACTGGCCTTGAACTCACTACGTAGCCCAGGCTGGCCTCAAACTCATGGTGATCTTACTGCTTCACCCACCTGAGTGCTGGGATTGCAGGTGTGCACCACCATGCCCAGCTCTAAAATGATATTTACAGAAAGACATCTGGAAGTATTTATATGGAAAGAAAAAGATATGTGGTCAAATTATTACCGGAAACACAGGGTTTAGACAAAGTGAAATAAGACTCTTCACTATAAAACTAATCTGAGCCTCTACTATGCTAAACTTTTCTGATTATTCAAAAGCAAAGTATGAAGAATTTTCCAAACTTTCTTCATAACAAAACCCTTTCTTAGAAGTAATAATCCAGAGAACACACTCTGGAAAACACTAGCCCCAAGACTGTAACAAAAGGGATCTATCTGTGCCAGCTCATTGAGATTATAACTTGACAGGATTAAGACTCCTGGAGAGGTGACTGCACCCAGGAGGCACTACACCAATCAGTGCAGTAGCCCACTCATGTTCACAGTCCAATGTGCTACTAGGAGATGGGCCGCTGAATGCCCAGTGGGAGGAGGTGGGCCACTGAACGTGTGCCTCTGGAGGGTACATCTGCCGCTCCACACTGCTCGTACTGCATGCTCTGCTTCCTGGCTGTCATGAACTGAGCAGTGTTGCTCTACCACGTCCTTTCCACCATGATATTTCTGTCTTGGAGCCAGACATGGACTGAAACCTCCGAAACTGCGAGCGAAATTAAACCTCTCTTCCTTTCAGTTGTGGGTGTTGGATATTTTGTCCTAGCAACAGGAAAGCTGAGCCATCCACTATGTAAAGTGAGTTATTTGCCAATTCCCATACAATCAATTAGCTGCAAACATAATTTTAAGAACTTACTGATGCAAACAGGAGTATCAAAAAACTAAAGCAAAATCTTATATTTTACTTTCCACATATGCAGAAATTAAGTGTACATAATATCACTCACATTAACTTCAAGAAAAATTAAATACGTAGGAATTAAACTAACTAAAAAAAGCAAAAGACTTTAACAAAAACCACAATACAGTACTCTGAGAAAGTAAATTGAAGAGGACATCAGAAAATGAAACAACCATCCCCTGTGCTTGCACAGGCAGACTCACTATTGTCAAAATGGTCACACTTCCAAAACTGAGCCATAGATTTAACACAATTCCAGTCAAAACACCAACAGCATTCCTTACAGAACTAAAGAATTATAAAATTCAGATGAAACCAGAAGAGAAGCAGAATAGCAAAAGCAATGCTGAACAATAAGAGCAAACCAGGGGGCATCACCATCCCAGATTTCAAATTACGTATTTCTCACTATGGACTAACCTAAAATCAAAATGGACCAAAGATCTAAACGTTAAAGGAGAAACATTCTCCTGGACAGTAAAATAGATAAAACTCTTAAAAGACCTAGCTGAGGCAAGGATTTTCTTAACAGAACCCAATTTGGACAAGCAATAACGTAAGAATGAACAAAGGGATTATATTAAATAAAAAGTTTGTACAGGGCATGGTGACACACATCTGCAATCCCAACACATGACAAGGAATCTGAGGCAAGAGGACTGCCATTAGTGCAAGGCCAGCCTGAACTACACAGCAAGACCTGGTGTCAAAAAAAAAATTTAAAACCTTATGCACAGGGGAAAAAAAATAATCAGCAGAGTGAAGAAACAACCTAAAGAATGGGGGAAAAAATGGTCAGTTGCTCTTTAGACAGAGGACCAATATCTAAATGATATAAACAACTCAGAAACTTAAACCATCCCCAGAGTAAACAACTCATTTAAAGAATGAGCCACTCTAATATAAATCATACAATTTCCCTCTTTTGTAGTCTGAACAAGATCCGTAACAGATGGCATTTTATTACTATTTAAACAACTCATTGAAGTTAGTCTGTGCAGTGAGGAAGAGTTCACATGCATTCTTTCATACCGCTGGACTTTGATGCGCATCATTTAAAACAGTTTGTATGCTTCTTCTAATCCGTATATACAGTATGTTCTTAAATAACGTTCCTCTGTCAAGAGAACTGTGAGAAATAAACTATGGCTACTGTCTGTATATATTTTAAAAATGAATAGATATTTCTCAGAAGAACCACAAATGGCCAAAAATACACAAAAAAATGTTCAACATCTCTGAAATGCAAATTAAAACAACACTGAGATTCCATTTTACTTGAGAAATAATGCCTATAATCAATAAATTAAGTAATAACAAAAGGCTGTGGTGGGAATGTCAACTAGCACCACCACTATGGAAATCAGTATAGAGATGATTCAAAAAACTCAACATAGAAATCCCATTGTACTAAGCTATTCTCACACTAGGTATCATCATGATGGAGTTAAAAACATCACACTTGTGTTTACAGCAATACAACTCTTAATAGCTGAATCTTGGAAGAGGCCTACACATCCATCCACAGATGGATGGATAAAGAAAATCTGGCATTTACACACAATGGAGTACTATTCTGCCATAAAGAAGGTTAAGTTTGAATCACTGGTAGGAAAATGGATATATCTTGAGACCCTAAAGTTATGTGAAATAAATTAGACACACACAGTTTCTCTTTTACAAGAATCCCAAAGTATAAGTAAATTAAAGACCAAAATAAAAGATAGATAATACAAAACAGAGATAGATCTTTTGAAAATGGAAAGTAATTAAAATGTCTTATGTACAGGTACCAACTCCTCATCATTAATACAATTATTATGTACTATAAACATCTACTAAAAAATTATTTTAATTCATAAAAAAAATAAATCTCTCCTCTTTAAGATGCAGGTGTCAGATATTTTGTTCCAGTGATACTAAAGTGACTAATACTGTCTTTCATTACACTGGTGCTACAATATTGTAATTCAAAATAGTTAAAGACCTATGTTAAAATGGTAAATGGGAGCTATAAAGACATTCTCACCCATCTTAAGTGCCAAAAGCAGAAACCCTATTTCTATAATTTACAAAGCAATTTTATGTATACAAAATTGAGCTATTCAGAAGTAGAGTAAAATAACAGATATAAACAGTATATATCTATGATCGATCTCCCTTATAAATCTGTTTGACTTTCAAGAGGGTTTAACTTACGCTTGTCGTTCAGTAAATATAACATCCATACTTTGTGTTTCTCGATCATTCTGAGCTTTAAGCTGAATAAAGAGTTAACACCAAAGTTAGTGATAAAGAAGTAACCACTAAGTCAAACTCTTTCCTTAAAGGTTATTCTGGTTATGAATTAAATGAGTATGATAATTCTAATTCTACATGCAAAGTTCAATAAAAAAATACAGTAACGTTTCATTTACCAAAGACCACCACTAGACTAAAATGTCTTTTTAACAAGTATCATAATTTCACACCAAAAATATTCATTGTTCTTTAGTGGTCTGTCAACAATCCAACATAAACTTAATTTATATAAACAATGTGCTAAGAATTTACTGAGTATCCAATAAATAACTGACTGGCAATATATTGAATTTAGACTCAACACAAGTTTTAATCATAAAGCATTCAGGATTTACTGAATATTTGTAGCTGGCTCTAAATAACTAACAAAACACTTAAGATCTTTTTAGTTTTTATTCTGGCACTAAAATACAATTTTTAATTTGTGAATTCTCCTCTGTTCTAACAGTAATAATCTAAATTATCAAGGTTTTAGAACACATTTAGAATGATCATTTTATAAACTGTTTTCAAGATAGCGTCTGATTACATAAACCATAAGCTATGTAAATTGAGTTGTGTTATTTTCTCCAAATGTTTTAATCAAAAACCTAGATATTAACATATTTTATTGTTTGTATCAAACAATCTGACAACATGGAACACAAATTCTCATTTACCATTCAAAATTAAAATTATGTCTGGCATCATATCTATTGATTTTTCTCCCTTTGTTATAAAAATTATGAACTAGTACTATTTATCTCCATTGAGTACTAGCTTCGTTTGCATAAAAATTAACCAGAAATATTGCTAACTAATGTGGTATACATAGGAGCAAATACATAGATGCACTTTCTAACGTACAAGGCAAGTGAGACCAGTTTAGAGACCTTTGTAGACACTACAGCACCCACCTAGGAGAGACAGGCAAGACAGAAAAATTTAAACAGACCAACTAAGAGAATTCAACTATAACAGGATCGAGAATTTAAGGTCCATTAGGTTTTATCAAACTATTTATAGATATAAATTCTTTATTTTGGAGGATATAATTTTATAAAGATCTACTGATCACATTTGCAAATTTTCTTACCATGTTGTAATCGTTCATTACTTCTTCCATTTCAGTATTGGTATTAAGTTTATCTACCAACTACAAACAGAAGTACAAAAAAATCCCATTAGTGTTAAGGTTCTGTATAATTCATAATACAAGTATTCAATCTCACGAATGAGAATTTAAGCATTAATATTTCTAATGTCTTATCTTTTAAGAGAAAAGCAAATACTGAGCCACCTAAGTAAGCACATACAGTACAGTGTACCTGTCCAATAATGATGCATATTTTAGTGTGGGACAGTAAGAACTGGGCATGTTAGTGAATGCCTGTAATCCCAGAACACTGGGAGCCTGAGACAGGAGGACTGGAAGTTCAAGACCAGCCCGGGGACTTAGCAACTGAGAGACTCTCTCTGAAAAAAAAATTTTTTTGGAAAGGACGAGGAATGGAGCTCAGTGTGAAGGCTCTAGGTTCAATCCCCAGCACCACACACACACACACACACACACACACACACACACACAACTGGAAAAAAAGTGATCAGTAATAAAACACCACAGACCTCACCTTGAAGAGCTTTACCTCCTCTGAAAAAATGGCTGAACTTACAAAGGTCTAGAAAAGTCAGATCTGTCACTCTTCCGTCTTTTCCCCCAGGGAAAAGGAATGTTAGCAGATGTGCAAATCTACACTGTGAAACTTTACAAACTCGAGCTCTCAGGGCTTTCTTCAGGAAGGCCCTGGTTTCCCCAGGTGCTCCTTTATCTTGCCATTTTCCTCTTCTACTCAGCCCAAGCTCACCCTGAGGAGCCAGTTTCTTCCTCACTCTTCACTTTTACTTTTTGAAATAAATTTTGTCATTGCTTCAAAAACAAATCAGTAAGGCGAGGCACAACGGACAACACACTAGGAAGCCTATTCAAAAGGGCAATGCCATCAACAGCTAACGTAGACCGTCCCGAGTCTGTTACGTGCATTATTAACTCACTCACTAAATGTTATGTCCACATGTAACAGAAAAATAAATTTAGGAATTAGTGAACCAGAGGTCACTATTTAGGAGTCAAAAGCAAATTATTTAGGTGTAATTGATACTAAAAATGAAACTTTATTAATGTGTACTCGTGTACATCACATTTTTCCATTTGTGATGTAAATAAGTGCTAGTAAGACCTAACATTTATTCAATGATAACTATGTATCAGGTACTTAGGTGTTTCTACTTATCACGTGTTAAACCTACAAACAGCACAGTCTACATGTTTTTATCATGTTTATCTTAAGTACCTTACCTAACACACTTCACTATTACTAAAAATCCTTTTCATCTAATGTCATTTCGTACTTCATAATACTATTTTTCTCATATTTGGAATACAACATCATTTACTGAAAAAGTCCCACCAAATATTAGGTTCCAAAAATGTTTATTATAGGTTGTATGATTCAGCAACTTTAACAATTACAATATACTATAATCAAAAAAATTGTATTGGTAAGCATAATGCAACAGTATCAAGTAAGTATTTCATAACTACCTAATCATTCTTACTAGAAGAAGTGAGATAAAAGTTTGTCACTTTCATTAAATCTGGACACCACTGCTACTTAATGCAACCAAGAAGTCAAGAAGAAAACTCTGACACTAAAAATCTTCACAGCAGCACAATTACCCAAATGACTGAGGCAGTCACCAGTACTACCAAAGCTACTGCTTCTTCTGAAAGTCCACATGGGCAAGCATCCTTGGTGGAACTATGTTTGTTATGCTATTTTGACAGAATATACACATAGAATACAACATACAGATGGAGGTAATCTGTGTGCTAAATAATTAAGTTATTTTTATTTAATGTCGACAATGCTCCATACAAAGATAAAAATATGTTTATAAAGCAACAGCATTGCCAGGTGTGGTGGTGCACACCTATAATCCCAGCACTTAGGAGGCTGGGGCAGGAGGATTGCTGTGAATTCAAGGCCAGCCTGAACTACATAGTGAAACCTTGTCTCAAAAAACAAAAAAGCAGGAGAGCAAGAAAGCAATAGCATTATTAGCACCCAACAAATTCTACCTATTTTTGAAAGATTTTAATATCGTTAGGGTGGAAGGCATACGTGTTCTTTTGTAGGTTGTTGTGGTCTATACCTCCCTGTCCCCTAAGAGCCTCATGCAGTCACAGGCAGGGCTTTTAGGATGTGACTGGCTTGCTGTTGGGAGGTGGGTCACGGTAGGTGTGGCCTGGGAGGGTATCTCTCCCTTACCCTGTCCTCCTTGATGTCCCTCTCCTTGATGTCCCTTTGCTTCCTGTATGCCATTCCATGAGCAGCTCTCCACCTCCCCAGAGCAGTCAATTACAGACTAAAACTTCTACAAACTATGAACCAAAATAAACCTTGCCTCCTTTAATTTGTTGGTGTCAGGTATAGAGTCCCACAGACCAGGAAAGTAACTAAAACACAAGTAAGTGTATTTTTTTTAATATTGAAAGAGTACACACTGATCTGTTAAGGTAAGATATTTCTGGAGAGAGATGTGTGGGAGAAAAGAAAGGGACGCTTTATTCTAACACTTTTTATAGTGTCAGTATTTCACAGGAAGCATATATTCATGTCTTACTTGGCATTTAAAACAAGATATCTTTGGGTGGTAAAAAGCAGTAAAATTATTCTAAGAAAATTCTCTCAGAAAAGAGACATTACCATGTTGTAGTCTGCTAGTTGTCCTTGAAACTCTTTGATTTCAACAGCTAAAGTCTCTGCTCTACAAACATAAAATTAATACATTTGTAAATACATAAATAAGTAGTTGAACATTCTGAACATAGGTAATACTCAATGTATACTGAATTAATATTTAGTAGTGCAAATACATTTTAAAAAAAACCTTGTAAAAACAATAAAAATGATACAGGGTTTCACAACAAAATGACAGGAATTAACAGTGGCTGTTATATTATATACTGTTATCTTCAACAAAGTTGCTCAAATTACCAGGTGTAAGAATGCAAGATTGACCAAACCATTAAAGAGAATAAAAAATAAAAACAAAAAAACATTAGAAATGAAACACAGTTTCACTAGACAAGATGGTAGGAATTCACCAATGGTTGTTTGTTATACTGCATATTGTTTTTGCTTTGTTTTGTTTTTGTCCACGTTGGTATTTTGCTATTGTTCTTTTCTCATTATACTGTTTAAAATAAAATTTAAAAAAATTTTTTAAATCTTGCATATTTAACTGCAAACGTACCTCTTTTCATATGACAAATAGACTGAATTCTCTTGATTGTGCATTTCTATTTCTTTTTGAAGTTTATTAATTTCAGTTGTAAGTTCACTTATTTTACTTCTAATTGAAAAGAAAAAAGAATGTTAGCAATACTTCTAGCCAAGAAAACTCATTTTAAGTAAACTTATTATAAATGTGTAACAATAATATAAATGGGTTTTGTGAACTTCATTTTAAAAAGACAAGATATCACTGGTTTATTTGATAAAGATTAAGGAACAGCCCATCCTGTTCTCCTCAACTTATGAAAAACTGACAATGGACAGATGAGACAGGGTCAGCATGGATGCCGGGTTAAACCGTTATAATCCACAGGCAGATGCAGATACCTAACTGTGATCTTCACAGCTCCTGCTACAATTTCTTAATAGCAGCACCACTGACACGGCAGGGCAGGGACTAGTGCTTTGCCATGGGAGGATATGCTGTGCATGTAAAATGTCCAGCAGCATCCGTGATAAGGATGCCAGCAGCATCTTCCCATAACTCCAGTTCCGACAACCAAAAATGGGCTCAGAAGTTGCCAAATGTTCCCAAGGAGCACTGAGCTCTCCTCTAAGCCCAACAGTCACACAAACAGAACTACCCTTTGATGTAGCAGCATACATCCTGGAGAACAGAAGCAGTGCAATGATTAGCAGTTGTTCTATTTCCTTCCCTTCTTTCGATTACAAAGTGACTGAATATCAGGTATTATACATCTGACGACCTGACTATCTTTCTTACTATCTTAGCCTTGAGGACCGATGGGGAAAACCTACTCTTGTCCTTATTGCCTTCTAGGATCTGAGGATCCAAAGGACCCAGATAGTTGAGAAACAAAACCAAGAGGGACTAAAAAGGAAAATGAGGTTTTGGGGGCAATGATGAAATGACAGATTAAATGAAATGGAAGACAGAAAGAAGAACAGATGACTAGTGAAGAAGAAAATAAAGTCAAATGAGAAAATGGAGGTAGGACAGTTGCACGCCTGAGCAGAGTGAAGGTAAGTAGAAAATAACGAAAAAGTTTTTAATTTAGACCTGCATAATTGAAAACATACAACGAAGCATATGAATTCATTAAAATTAGGCCACATTTATAAGTACTGACCAAATATATACTTATGTAAAACTTTTGACTGATTAAGAGATCATAAGTATACAAATCTTTCTTATTAGGTATAATTGATGACATTTCAATACTACAAATAATATATTTCAAAATAATGAAGCAAAAAGCTAGATAGTTATTTTTACCACTAGATGAAAAAAGCAAACTCTAAAATGTTGCAGTTTCAATGTTTGTGTCCCCTCCAAAATTCATAATGAAACTGAAAGCCATCCGACAGCATTAAGAAGTGCAGCCTTCAGGAGGTGATTAGGCCATGAAGGTGCCGCTCTCACAGATGGGTTAGTGCTTTATGGCAGGGCTGCAGGGAGCTGGGTCGGCCATTTTTTGCACTTCTATCATGTGACAACACCCACACGGTGCCATGAATGAGGAACAGGCCCTCCCCTGACATGAGACCTGCCGGCACTTTGATCCTGGAATTCCCAACGTCCATGACTATGAGAAATAAATTTCTGTCATACATAAATTAACTAATCTCTCTTGTACCAATACATTTAATTAATAAAAAAAGACATATAGTTATTGTAAAAAGCACCATAGTTAAAATTTCATTATTATGCATAGAAAGGCACGTTTGTTTAACATACCGAAGAAGTCCAAGATAGTAAGATTTATCTAAAATTTGCCTCTGGGGACCTAAAAGAAATATTTTTAAATGTTAGTGTTCTGTTTCAAAATACCACCAAAACAGCAAATCCAAATCCAAAGTACAACCAGAATTACATGGAAGTTCTGTCAGTCACCATGAATGTACCAGTACATCAAGAAGAATCACTGATATGAAAAGACAACTAACAGCTTAGCATCAAGATATAACGGAACCTTAATAAGATCACAAATATGGAGCTGGGTATGACAGCATATACCTGTAATCCACGCATCATGGGAGGCTAAGGAAGGAAGAACACAAATACAAGCCTAGTCTGGGCGACTTAGTGACTTAGTGAAATCCTGTCTCAAAAGAAAAAAGAAAAGAGAAAAGAAAGGAAGAAGAGAGGAGAGCAGAGGAGAGGAGAGGAAAGGAGGGGAGAGGAAAAAGAGCCAGGTATTTAGCTCAGAGTGAAGCCCCTAGATTCAACCCCAACTACCGCCAAACAAAACAAAGAAACAAAAAATAGATCACAAAAATAAGACTTGAAGTGAGGTGGTTAAGACAATCGACTGAAGGGAAATGTGTTTATGGAAGCCTAGAACAAAGCTGTCCAAAAGAACTTCATGCAGCAAAATATATTAGAATTATCCAGGAAATCATTCACATGGAACCAATGAGCACTTGAAATTTGGCTGGTGCTACTAGGGAAATGAATTTTTATTTTACTTAATTTTAATTAATTTAAATTTGAGTAGGATAAGCAACTATTGGCTATCTTATTGGAGAGTGCAACTATTTCTCAATGTGAGAAAGGGACTATAAATTTTCAAATTTGTCTCAGAGACATGTGTGCGTATGAGAGAGAGAGAGAGAGAGAGAGAGAGAGCGGGAGAGAGAGACAGAGAGAGACAGAGAGAGACAGAGAGAGAGAGAGAGAGAGACAGAGAGAGAGAGACCTGAGGGTCTTGTGAGTGCTAGGCAAGTACTTGGCTCTACCGCAGAGACACATCCCCGGCCTTCAGAATTTTTTTTAAATAATCTTACATTTCAGTAGGACTAAGAAAATCTTCCTAGGTGTAATGTCCCAAATCTGCAAAAGATGAAGTGTCCTGCAAAGTGTGAGAGATGAAGCCAGGGAGTACTGCCCCTGAGGTCCATGCTGAGAAGAGAAGGAACGACTTAGAGCAGGAAATAGGACGACAGTGCAGTGAGAACCGAAGTCACAACAGACAGGGGCATGCACTTAGCAGAACTGCAAGCCTTTAAAGAATGTTGGTAGACACTAACAATCTTAAATGACATTGGTTCTGCTTTGAAGGATAAACTATACAGTAAGAAACATATGATGAATCCTCCATAGAATTTTAGTATGCATCCACCTGTAATTTTGTTTTATTTTTTGTCTTTTTGAGACAAGGTCTCCCTGTGCAGTTGAGGCTGGCCTTGAGCTCACTCTGTAACCAGGATGTCTCGAACTTGCAATGATCTTCCTGCCTCAGCCTCCCGAGTGCTGGGATTACAGGCATGCGCTACCATGTCCGGCCTACCTGTTATGTTTTTAAATAAGTAATATAAAACATAACCATGTCTGTGAATATATTATTTAAAACTAGCTAAGAGATTACAGAATTTTGACTCATTTTTTAACAGTACTGATAATTATTAAATAAACATGTCTAAAAGAATCCACTAGTTTTTAAAATATTTAGTGAGCTAAATGGTATTGTAAGAAAATTTAAGCCAGGTATGGCAGCACACACCTGTAATCTTAGCACTCTAAGAAGCTGAGGGAGGAGGATCTCAGTTTTAACCCCAGATTACAGGATTAGTGACTTAGTGAGACCCTGTCTCAAAATAAAAAAGGGTTGGGGATGTAGCTCAGTGGAAGGCTCTGGATTCATTCCCCACTGCACAGAAGCAGAGGAGACGGGAGGGGAGGGGAGGGTACAGTATGGGAGGGGAGAGGAAGAGAAACAGAAACGGGAAAACTTAAGTCTCCTGAAAAGCATGACTTACTACGTTATAAAAAATATAGTCATCTTTCAGTATCTGCAGTAGACAGCATCCAAGACTCCCATGTGGATGTCAAAATCCTGGGATATCCAAGACCATATAAAATGGCAGAGTGTTTGTATATACTCCATGCACATTATCATTCTTTTAATGTTTTAAATCATTTCTAGTCTATCATATCTAATACAATGTAGATCTACAAATAGCTCTTTTACTGTATTACTTAGAAAATAATGACATGAAAGTCTGTGTATGTTCAGTAGAGATATATGGCTTTGGCTTTTTTTCTGTTTTTGATCTGCAGTTATTGAATGTGCAGAGGTAGAAACTATGGGAACAGAGGGCGAACTGGAGCAAGATATCATAAAATAAATTCTTTACCAATAAAATATCTTTAGCCCTGATAAATCATTTGTCATATATAAAGAAAACAAAAAATTCTTTACTAAAACATTTACCAAGTTTTGGCTTATAAATATCACAGATCAAATTTATAAATCATAACATATAGTGGATTATTATGCCTTTCTAAACAGAGGCCTAACGTGAGACTCACTGTAGTTTCACACGTTGACTCATTTCTCTACTTTAGCTGTGTAACTGAGTACTAATCTCACAAAAAAGCTCTCTTCATTAATACAGGTATTTTAATAGCATCATTTTGATAAAGAAACTATCAAAAATATTTCACTATATTTCTATAGAGTACAAGAAGTCTAATTTTCAATTCTACATTTTTCTTCAAATTATTTCAAATTTCTTCAATTATGAAAAATCCCACATTCAGAAAAATGAAGATCAAAGCAGCACATACATGTATGACTTTCCAGTTCACAGTGTATTTTCATACTCATTCTGTTGTTATAACAATTTTATAAGTCAATGAAAAAGAACTACGTGTTGTAATTCTGATTTAGTAAAACAGTACTATAATACTTTAAAAAAAAACACTCATCTTTTTATTCTTTTTTATTTTATGGAAAAAAGGTAGAACAAAATTTCATAACAAAATAATAGAAGAATAACAATAGTTAATACCTTACAAGTTGTTATCTTTAAAGTAGTTGCTCAGGGTGTAAGATACGGGCATAAAAATTCCTCCAATCGGTAACAGCACGAACTTTCCTTTTTAATGAACTAAGAGACACTAATAGTATAACTGACCTGCATTTTTTCCCTTTTCCCTACTGTCCTTTCCCCTTTCATATATCCTACTACCTCTTTGTTTTTGAATAATTTCTTCCTGTTTCACAATATCTATTGTACATTTTAGAACTTATTTACTTCTTTCACTTTCTCACACCTGGGAGACAATACGATGTTACATACGTGAATCTGATTTATTTCACTTACAAGTATGGACTCAAGTTGCATCCATTCACTTGTAAGTCTCAAGTTTATCCTTCTTTTGGCTTAGTAGTACTCTACTATACAAAACAAAAAAACAGAACACCTTTTTTATTCATTCCTCAGTTGATGGTCACTTGGGTCATTTCCAAGATTCAGCTGTGACGAATTATGCTGCTGTAAACATGGGTGCACATATATCACTATGGTATGATATTTTCAGTACTTCTTGACAACTACCCAGAAGGGGAGTACCTGGGTGGAATGGGACTTCTAATCTCAGTTTTGTGAGGAATCTCCAGACTGATTTCCACAGTGTTTGTACCAGTCTACACTCCCACCAACAGTGGAGAAGCGTTCCTTTTTCCCCATAGCCCCTCCAGCATTTGTTAATGGTTGAATTTCTTAATGCTAGCCATTCTTTCCAGGGTGAGATGGAATCTAAGCGTTGTTTTAATTTGCATCTCTCGAATGACCAGTGATGTTGAACATTTTTCATGTATTTATTTGCCACTTGTTAAAATACACTCATCTTTATAGATACCTTTCATTCCAGTTTTCATTCCACTCAAACCTTGCTGCGTAACAGGACGATCAGCAACTTTGATTTGAGAAGACAGAATTCCACCAGTGCCCAAGGGACCGCCACGAGACCCTGGTCTTGCTGTTCCAGGTGGCATCTAAATGATAACAAGATTTCACTTTCATCAAACCAAAGAAAAACAATTATATCTTCTACTATTATAACATTACAAAGAGAATTTTTGAAAAATATTAAAATTCTGTACAATTTATAAAATGGTCCTTATATTTTTTCAAAATCTAAAATATACTATTCAATGTTATGAAATAATAAATTTCTTCAACATTTAAAATTCTATGACTATAATATATTTTATTAAAACTTTAAATTCTATGTGTGGACTATTTATAATATTTCAGTACTGGAAAGGAACTAAATGTCCACAAAAGGAAATGGTTAACTAAGTTGTAGTGTATAATAAATTAGTTTACAGAACAGTACAATATTCATGATTCCATTTTTGTAAAAATGAGTCTGGACAATCATAAAAAAGTAACAATGGTTATTTCTATATATTGTAATTTATTTTTATTTTTGCCTTTATACAATTTGGTGATTTTATCATTATTATAATGAATATATATATATATATATTCTTCTTCTTAATCTTTTAAATTTGCTTTTGAGATGTGGTCTAAGTTATCCAGGCTGAGCTCAAATTTGTGATCCTCCTGCTTCAGCCTCCCAGAGTGTTGGGATTACAGGGATAAGCCACCATGCCCCACTAGGAGTATATATTATATGTAAAATTTTTTAAAATAAGGAAATTTTCAATTTGAAAAATAAATTGGACGTAATTCCTTCACGAGAAGGTCATATTAAGTACTAAAGGACTGATTTCATTCAGCAAACATTTATATGATTACAGAATGATTCTCTACTTAAAGTTGGCAAAATCCAATGTAACACTATACACCCTTAGGAAAACACAAGACTCCTTTTCCAGCTCATATAGGATATATAAGCCTCAGAAAGTATAAAAGACAATATCAGAGTGTTTCCAAATATTCCTCCTTCTGTTCTTTTTTATCCTCTTTTCTTCTATCTCCTTCTCTACCAGAGGGAAAGTACAGCAGAAAATTAAATATGGGGTAGAAATTTGGAATAGAAGTTAAATATAACAATTACCATTCATTCTTTTTGTTTTTAATTGTTAGCTCCTAGCCTTTAATTCTATAAAACAAAATGGTCGCTAAATGATTCTGAGAATCACTTGGGAACTTCTTTAAGTATGGGGGGAGCAACAGTACACATTACAGAAAATACATTGGAAACAGAAACACAAAGTCAAACGAAACGAGCTCAAGGTTATCCTTAGTGATCTCTGAGAAAATGCTAAATCTCCTCTCGGGAAAACCTCCTAAATAACTTTCCCCTCTGCTTTACACAAGCATACTCTAAGAACTACTCAGATAACTATACTACTTGTTTTCATTCCCCAGATGAAAGCATAAGAGGAAAGTATAAATTAAAATTGTACACATCAAAAAGAAAAAAGTAGCCAGATCTGGGGGTGCATGCCTAGAATCCCAACTAGTTGAGAGACTAGGTCAAGAGGACCACAAATTCAAGGCCAGCCTGGGCAAACTGGCAAGAATGTCTCACAATAAAAAATAAAAAGGGTTGATAATATAGCTCGGTGGTAGAGCACTTCAGGATACAATCCCTAGTACCGGGGGGAAAGAAAGGAAATATATAAGTATTCACATGGAAAATATGCACAATTTATTATTGAAAGAAAAGGCTAAGATAAGCAGGAAAAATACAGCAATATCCCAGTTACCAAATGGACCTGACTATGCAGTCTATGCATGTATGTAAATCCATAGAAAAAAAAAAGTCTAGAAAATATACACCACACTGGTGACAGTGGTTATATCCAGGGTAGAAAATCATACTATTTTCAAAACTACAACCATTAAGTAAGTGGCATGTGGCAAGCAAGATGTAGTGAATAAATGTCATATTCTTTTTATAACTATTAAAATATTCTTTTTATAAATACAAGCACCAATTCTTACTAAAATAAAAAAAACACCCTAGCTTAGTACCATATACTGCATAAAAAGACTTCAGAAAAATCATTTCTGTCTAGGGGGTGGTAATCTAGTAATTACCTGAAACACTAGAAAACCTGAAAATTTTAGGAAAACCTATCTCAAAATTATTTCCCACCCCACCATGCTGTCCTCTTAAAAATTAAACACAGGGCTCAGTCATATCTGTTTTGTTGGAATTTGAGTATTAGTCCTACATAACTGTAGAGTTAGTCAAAACCATCTGTGTGAATATCAGAGAAAACATTGGGACATTTTGATATATTCATGTCTTTTCATTTTTTTTGTACACACGTATATTAATGTATGCTTGCATGTTAAACTGGAATTATACTGCTTTTTCCTTAATACTATTTTATGAAAGTATACTAGTTTATCAAATGTATTTTTAAAAAATTTTTGAGATAGTGTCTTGCTATGTATTCCTGGCTGGCCATAAACTCACAATGTACCGTCCAACAATCCCCCTGCCTCAGCCTCCCTAGTACTAGGATTATAGGCATGTACCACCACATCCAGCTGGAAATTAATGACTACCTAATAGCCTGCTATAGTGACAAAAATACCTTAATTTATTTAAGAGCCACATTATAAGGTCATTTAGGTTGTTTCCAAGTTTTCACTATTAGAATAATAAAACGTATTAATTATCTTTATACAATATTCTGCTTAGAATTAGCAGTTTATAAACTTTGTCCAACTTTTAAAAGTGTGGTGCTTCTCTTGTTGATTTACTGACTTATTGTACTATATTAAAAACAGTTCTTAACATTCTCCAGAGTTTGTTTCCAGCTTGTAATCTGAATACAAATTTCACTAATACTCATAGTTTATACTTTTACACTAAGGTATTATATTGTTATTTTTGCCTTTTAAAATTGTTTTTGATGAATTCTGGAACAGTTTTATAAGATTCTGAGCCCTAAATATGATACGTATGTTATGCTTTTCTACCAGTTTATTGCTTCTTTTTTAATTTTTTAATGGTATTTTCAACTTTTTATAAATTCAAATATATAAATCTAAAAAGCTTTCTTTTTCATTAGTGTTTTTGTCATTACTATAAAGCCCTAGTTCATATCAAGTTTATGTGCAATCTTACTTATATTTTCCCTAATATGGTTTCACTTTTAAAACATCAAGTTTTTGTTTTAAATTTTTAAATTTTTATTAGTACACATTTGATACTGCACATAATGAAAAAGATGTGAAGGGAATCAAAAATGTTTTTTAAACAAATGATTTATTAATTTTTGGAATGTTCTCATGAATACTCTGCTTTTATCAATTATTTTAAATGTTATTTTAATAATTAACTAAATAATTATATACTTGATTGTATTTCTAGCCTGTTCCATTCAACTTTATTTTGGCCCCAATATACCATACCATTTAATTTATTATAGCTTTAAAACAAATTTGTGAATCAGCAATAGTAGGTATCATCCCTCAATAGTGTACTGAGATTTCCCCACATTTATAGTTTTAGATGTTTCCCCCAAAAAAGTTTAAATCATGTCCTTACAGAATAAAGGAATAGTTTTGTTATTATCTAGAAGATCTCTAACTTTTACCAGAAGATATGCAGAAGAGTGCAATAAATTTGTTTCAAACTTACTCCAGTTGCCACTCGAATATTTCCTGATGGAGGTCGTATTCCAGAAGGAGGCCTTCCTGTCAACCCAATTCCACCTCGTGAAACAGGGCGGGATGAAGATTTATGATTACTGGCCATTGTCTGTTCACTTAAAACCACTGAAATGATAAATAATTCAATTCTCCTCAGATGTCTTTTAGAGCAAAACACTAGTGGCCTACCATACCTTTCCTTTAAACATTTAATTCATGATGATCTTTCTTGCAAATAACCATTCCAGGAACCAGTACAAGGCAAAGCCAAATCTAATTTTGTTCACATCTCATATTAATGCTCCTTTTGGAACTACAGGATTATTACAACATACCTTCTTCATCTATTATCTTACCAAAATGCAAGCCCTTCTAAGTATGTCTCCTTGATATTTGATTTTTAATCATTATTTCTATCTAACCTCTGTTCCTGCCACTCTCAGCAAATGATCTGATTTCCTAAGCTCAGAAAATTGGGACATATATTCCACCACCTTTGGAGCACAAAATTTACATTCAGCCCATCCTCCAATCTCAACAGTCATTTCCTCTCTCATTCAAGATCAGTCCCTATTCTGATTTGCCCTCTTGATCTGTTACCTTTGAGACACTATCCTCCCCATCTCCTTTGGAGCATTACCTCCAGTCCTGATGATATATTTAAATTTTCTCCTTTCTTTCAGCCTGTTATCGTACTCAATTTCATTTCTTAACCACACGAAAGAATTTCTTGGTCCCGCAACCTAAAACCACCTCTAAGTCAGCCTCAAATATTCTTATGTGCCCGGGGGGTTGTATAGGGGGGTTCTTACCCAGCCACGCAAACTCTTAAAAGTGGCCTATTTTCATGAGATCCTAGATTCCCAGATTTCTACTGGAATAAACTGCTAATTCAGCAGGGATGCAGATGTCACGTTACTGGTTTCCACCCTTATTGAAATCATCCCCTAACACTTGCCTCTTTGAATTCTCCCTTTTCAGTCTCATTGATTGCATTCCACCTGCCCTTTATTAGCAGCGTTCTCCATTTGGCCCATTTTTGCTTCTTCTAAGCTCTCCTTGGACCACCTCATCCATAATCAGGGTTTTAAAATTCGTAAGTTCACAACTCTGCATCTCCAGCCCTAACACGCCAAGTACCTAAAAGTGTTCACATCCAAATATAATTACTAGCATCTCAGATGTTGTTTAAATATTTCAAAGCAGACCTATGTAAATCTTAGCTCAGTATGATCCCCCAACATGTGCTCTTCTTCTTGGGAACATCTCCTGCTCACACAAGCAAGAAACCTAGCGCTTGGTTTCTCTTGCCTCTCACTCTCCGTTGCTAACTAACCACTTGGTTCTACTGACTTTAGCCCTAAACGTTTAACACGTACCTTCTTCCTTGCTAGTCCTCCAGCAGTGGCCAGCGCAGGGTCTCACTGACCCAAGCAGATCCCATCAGCCTCCTAAATGCCCTAACCCGAATGCCACCTAACATCTAAGACTCGAGGAATCTCTCCATGACCACTCCACAACTACCTACCCGCACCTCCTTTTTCCAAAAGCTAGTACAGCAAACCCTTTGTTTGCAGCAAAACTAGTCACTGCACTGTTTTTCAAGCAACTTTGAGAAAATGTACCATATACTTCTTGATTTTCTTTGCCACTGCTTTACTGTAGTGGAAAAGGCTTAGTACAGCATCAGTCCCCACAGGGGTGAAGAAACAAGGAGAGGAGAGGCGCTAGTAAACTCCGGGGCTATTCAACCACACACCAAACATTCACACAACTGCAGCGAAGGGGTTATTAACACAGGCCTGTCCTTTGTTCCAGAAAGATTAGGGACACAAGCTCTACCTCTGACCTCATCAGCTCGGTCGCCCTGACACACTGCTTAATCCCTCTGGATGTGTTTCCGTCTCTAAAACAGAGGTGTGGCCAGGGGCCCTACCTTGCAGGACCGGGAAGGTTATACACAGCACGGGAAAAACACCTGGCTCCTAACTATGATGACTAGCATCTCCCTCCCTAAGCCAACCTCTCTCACACACGTTTCGTGGCGAGTCCCTAAGTCCTGTCCTCTGTGACCGAGAGACAGACATCTAGCAGAGAACGCTGATAAAATCCGCCAGCGCGCTCGAGGCTCCCGGATCCGTCCCGTGCTGTCGGCGTGGCGGTGGCTCAGGAGATGGATGAAGGAGATCTCCGCGCACGTTTTAACCAAGGAGAAGTGAGAACCTCCCAGGCCGGGCGACGAGCTCCACACTAACAGCTTTGGGCAGAATAATACGAATTTGTTTCGTCTGAAGGGATCAGGGTCGCCTACGCGAGGAATCAGGCAACCAAGAGAGCGGGGAAGATGCGACCTACGATTTCTCACCCGCGTCGGCGCAGAAGGGGAGCCGCCGGGCTCCGGAGCGCTCCGAACACCTTCTGAGGCCGGCACCGCGGAGGAGCCCACGGGCGCGCGTCCGCCCGCTCGCCGCCCGCGGCTCCCGCGGATCAGCTTTCCAGGGCCCTCAGGCCTAACCCCGAGCGTCCTCGCGCCTCCGCGTATCCAGGCAACGGGGGCGGAGCCCTAAAAGGTCCCTGTTCCTGATTGGCCAATCCTCTGCCCCTGCTCCCGTCCGCTACAAACTGAGCGAGATCAAAATGCTCTCGCGATGTTTGAAACTAACTTCTGTGGGTTTTTATTTTCCGTTTTCTCAATTATTTTTCGGAAGAAATGGAAAACAGCTGGTTGACTAGAAAACAGAAGAGACCACCGTGTTTGAACGCCTTCGTCGTCTTTTCCTTTTTGTTTTGTGAGACAGGGTCCCCCGGTGTGGCCCAGGCTGACCTCGAACTCGCCATTCCGGCGGCCCCACGTCCTGAGCGCCGACGTTACAGGGCTGTGCCAGCGCGCGCGGGTTGGCAGTCAAGGTTTTCTTGATAAAGGAACCTGAGCGCCTCACCTGAACTGACGATATCGTTAAATAACTGGTTGTCTGCTGCTGCGCAAGGAGTTATATAAGACTGCTTCGAAGTTATTCTGTAGAAGACAGTACATTGTACACTTTTTTTTTTCCTCATAATTTGTGTGTTTTCCCTCCTGTCACTGCATAACGCAGACTCTTAAGTATGGATGAGATTCTAACACCATCTGACCTGGTTGGAAGCTTGGCATCTTAAACTTCTTCCCTAGAGTTCTTTGATCTAAGTGTGCAAGGTTGTGAATTAGATGAAAAGTGTTCTTAGAATTATTTTTTTAAAAAAAGTTGGAAATTACCTGAAGTCACTGCTTTGCAGAAAAATAATTTAGAAACTATTTCACCTCAAATCCCACCAAATAACATTTGTTTTCTTCTAGTCTTCATACAGAGCGAAAGTAATTGCACAAACTTATATTTTAGTATTATCTTACCCATTATTTCCAACTTCCATATATATTATTCACATCCAGATTTATTCTCGTATATGCCCTTCAGGTTTAAAATCAGTGCAATACAAAACGCAGTAATGTCATGTGACTCCATTCTTCCTTAACATTTATAAAACATTTGGATGTAATTATCTCATTTGAGCCTGACCCGTTTGCAGTAGTCATTTGTTGTCCTTTTGGTCACTCTGGAGCTAACCAGTTTTGACAGGATTCCTCCCTTACTCCTCCCTCCTCAGAGTAAACGAGACTGATACTGGCTTCTCTAGGCTTCCTTATTTCTGAGGCATACGCATAGCGTTTACTAGACACACCAGTCTAATCTGATGCACGTACCCCAAAGGTGAATGAGAACCAGAAGCAGGCCTCCATGGAGTCTACTCAAGGAAGAGGGACAGCCTCAGTAACTATATCCAGTTCTAAGACCACAAAGGCCTCTCCACAGCGATCAAGGTGGGGCATGAGTGTATTGTGCAAGCTATAGTGCTTGTGTTCAGAGACTTTATTAGAACTCTAACAAAGTTTCAGTCTCCTGGAGAGTCAGAGAGCTTCTTGATGACTTTTAAAAAATTTCTTTTCTGCTTTTAAATCATCCATAGATAGTTTCTGTTGCTTGCAGTTAAGAAATCTAACAGCTCTAACAGTTGAAATTAGCAGGACAGACACTGTTATTCTAACTGCAAAGAGATACCTTAGTTTGCTTAAAATCACGAGTAAAATTAAGCAGGGGTCTCTACTCCCATAGCCTTTTCATGATGAAAACAGTACAGAATAGTAATATGTCTCACCTATTAGCCTCTTCTGTGGAGTAGGCACCACCTTATTTAACATGATCACTGACTCTAGAGTCAGCTTTAATGTCCTGGGTCCTTACATAAAAAAAAAAACAAAACTTAAATTCAGTCAGTCACAGGTGGCCAACTAGTCAATAACTTTATTGTCTTTAGCTTCCAATCAAGATAGCCCAAACAAGACAATTGCTCAAGCTTTAACCAATCAAATAATTTATTTTTATTAACTCTTTTCCCCTCAGCCGCATACCTTGGCTATAAGTTCCTATTTGCCCTTTCTGTACTGCATTCAGAGTTGAGTTCAATGTCTTTCCCTGACTGCAAAATCCCACTTCAGTGGTCTCTATACCTATTGCCATGGCCCTTTTAAAAATATGCCTGCCTTACTGCCTTACTGTTGTGTTGTCAGAAGGTAGTGTCTGCCCCAAAATCATGTTGAAACCTGGTCTCCAAGTTGATGGTATTTGAGAGGCAGGGGAGGTAATTAGGTCATCGGGGTGAAGCCCTTTTGAGGAAAATTAGTGTTATAAAAGAGACTGGGATGATGCTTTTCCCCTTTGTCACACAGGATGGAATGCACAAAGCAAAACTGACTTGTCACAAAGAGCATTCTCCATAGAATTTTTACACCATTGGCATTGTGTCACGGTTTGGGGCTTATCTTTGCAAGGGGGAACAATATAATATATGACACATATTTTTATATGCTTATTTATAATAGTCACCCAAAGAACGCTATACAAGAGTGCAGGAAATCTGCCCACAGACTACAGGCCAAGAATCCAGCTGAGGGCCTGGATCCCACGGAAATGTCCTGCATGAGTCCAGCTGAAGACCTAGAGCTCATAAGAATGCCTCCCATGAATCCAACTGGAGGCCCAGAGCCCATTACAATATCTCATGCAGGTCTGTTTCACAAATCTGCGCTGGGAAGGCCCAGAGGGTGGGATCTAGAAGTCTGTGCCAGCGGGATGAAGGATCTGTGCTAGCAGGCTGAGGAATCTGCCCCGGAGCCAGGAAGCGATGCTCAGAAGAACCAGAGCTCCAGCAAAAGGTACCACAGCCATCCTCAGCAACAGTGAGGTCCCGAGCTCCTCTGATGATTAAGATGGCCAAGTTCCCATCAGGGAAGCCAATGCAGCAAGCTTCTTCAGAAGACTAAGCTGTGCACCTTCTTCCCCTCCGGAGCCAGGAAGTGATGCTCAGAGTGAGGACCAGAGCTCCCCCAAAGTGAACCAAAGCTATTCTCAGTGCCAACAAGGCCCCAAGCTCCTTGGAGGATGAAAACAGCGAAGCTCATCAGGAAAGCCAGCATGACGAGCTCCTCCAAAGCACCCAACAGCTCCTTACAGCTTCTACCAGCTCCCAACAGCCTTTTTAGTTCCCAAAAAACCTTGCTTCTTTTTCTCCAGGTTTGGCTCTTATGCTGCTGGCAACAGTTCCCAGGTGGGCCTCCCACGCCCAGCACCACGCTTACTCAGTTCAGCTGGGGGTTATAAGTTGACCACCAGTTGTCAATCCACTGCACATTGGTTTCAAGAAAATCACTACTTCTCCCTCACATCATGAGAAAATTAACATAGCACTTATCTCTGTCAGAGTGAAACATTAATCTTTGAAATTCAAAGACATTTCCTCCCAGAGGTATGTCATTTTCTTATCATTACAACATCAAGAAATCAAGCCATCAGAAATTGCTGATCTTTGCCCTTAGCACTAATACTCACACTCTCTATGCATCTAGTAAGTGTATTATTTTTAGGTGAACTGTCAGAGTAGAAGCCTAGAGTGGGCTGGAGTACTATGCCTACTACAATTATGATAATTTTGGGATGCACTTAAAACCAGCATTGTAAACTGGAAACATACAGAATTTCATAGGAATGATCTTAGCATTATGTGCTCAGAATCTAAAGTTGTGAATCTAAATAAAGTTGGATTTTTGCCAAAAAAAAAAAAAAAGGAGACTGGGAAAGGTGGAGCAGAGGACTACTAGATCCTGGGGCTCGTCTTGCCACAGAAACACCAATTTGAATACCTATTTATACATTAAGCTACGTTCACAAGAGCTAAGGAAGCCAGAAGAGAAACCATAGTGGATGGTTTTAGTATATTAAAATGAAAAGATGCATTGAAAAACAAAAAGGAAGCTCAGGGAAGAGGATCATTTCAAGTTCAAGGGCTACACAGAGAGTTCAAGGTGAGCCTGGACTACGTAAGGCAACCCTGTTTCAAAAAAAACAAAACAGAAAAGTAAGGACACTCCTAGACTGGGGATGTGGCTCAGTGTAGAACAATGCTTACTTGGTGTGCACAAGGTCCTGGATTTGACCCCTAGCCGTAGGCAGTTGGAGGGAAAGAATGTCCTAGCAGGGATAAACTTAGAAGGCCAGAGTTAACATAAATATTATTTTAAACCGAAGACATATGAGATTCACTAGGTAAGGGAGCAAATGGCTTCTCAAAGCTTTCCTTATCTTAATAAAAGCAACAATTTTGAGGCAACAAGTCTACCATAAATCTTCTGATTTGTATCCTTGAAGAAACTGGAAAGATATTTATACCTATATAGAGGACCACTGTCATAAACTCTGTTCTCCTGAAATTCCATGTCTCTCCTAAAGAAAACTATTTGAATTTGTGGTGGAAACCATTAAATAAACACACACACACACATTCATATAACCTCTTTCCTCTAGTAAGTTGGGTATATAAGCTGATCAACCATTTGATGAGTCGGCTCCTTTTATGGGCTCTCCTGCACACAAATTATTTTCTTCCTGTTGATCTATATTTTGTCAGTTCAGTGTGTAAGCACTCCTGCTTTACCAACTGAACATGAGAAGAGAAAGTAATTATTTTGGAATGTTAGCCCACGTATATGGTTAAAGCATCTGTATAAACAATCTTTGGGAAGTACACAGGAAACCAGTAACAATGATTGCCCCCAGAGAGGAAAACTAGATGGCTAGGATTTGAAAATTTGCATTTTACCTCCGTTAAGCCAACCTTTATTCCAAAAAACCTTCAGAAGGAGGGGAAATTCGTCCCTAAAATACTGTCAGTATCACTTGCACACACAAGCCAAATTTCATTGCTATCAAACATTTCTTGGAGCCAGGGATATAGCTCACTTGTGCAGTGCCTGCCTGGCAAGCCTGAGGTCCTGAGTTTGATTCCTGGTATCTCCCGACCCAAAAAAGATTTCTTATTTTAGCTTCCCTAACTTTTTCCTTCTAAATTACGAGCCCTGGAGCATACTGACCCCAATTTTATTTTCATGTAATTTGTATTACTGTTATTTTATACTGAATTTAGGCCTTTTTGTCATAATGAAGGTATCATACTGAGAAAAAAAAAAAA